AAATTTTCAAATATATCATTAGACTCGTGAAAATGTCAATAAATTAATTAAAAGACGGCGATACGAGTCAAGCGCGGTACGTGGTGCGCAACTAGAGAATTAATAGTTACAGAAGTAACGAATTACAATGTATATACGTATAATATACATATATTCCAACTTAATAAACTGCCGACAAATAATCGGCGCGCATACGTAATACATATATACGTATATACATTGTAATTCGTTACTTCTGTAACTATTAATTCTCTAGTTGCGCACTACGTACCGCGCTTGACTCCGTATCGCCGTCTTTTAATTAATTTATATCTACATATGTTATTGTTGATAGATCTACAGCGGGTCGAGAAAATAATTATTTTGAATTATAAACCAGATCGTGACTATAAAAATTCTTTGTATAAATCAAGATAATCATCCTTCTGCTTTCTTGTCAAATCGAAACAGAAGTTTTCAATCAATGACAATATATTTTCCTCGTTTAATTGTTATATTAGCATTAAAAATTAAGTTTATATATATTTTTTGTTTTACAGGAAAGCTATAACGAGACGAGCGACAAGTCATTAAGTATGTAAATGTTTTGTGTAAAATATATTTCTTCATTGTAGTACACTTGCTTCTTTTAGTCGTATCATCGTTTTAATTATTAACATTGTTTATTAGTTTGTAGTTCAAATCTTTTTTTCTTTACGCTGATGAAAATCACAAATTTGTCAGTTGAAGTGTTTGAGAGATACAAATTGATTTGACATGCGAAGTTTAAACTGTCAGTAATTAGAGAAAAACTTACTCTTATGAGGTATAACTTATATATAATAAACATAAAATAAGTATCTATTTATCTCATTGTTGCTTGCAATTATAAAGAATATTCTGGTATAATTAATATCGTATTGTCAAAATAAAAGTCGGTACAATGTATACTTCGTGCATGTTTAACTATATTAGCGAAGTTGAAACAGTAACGGTCATTTTCAGCGAAAGCTTGTTCGGGCATTTGTATGGCTGCGAGAATCGCCGATTATTGCGATGCCGTGCTGGTGATAGATACCCTCTGCAAGCCGGGCTACAAGTGCTGCGTATCCAGGGACGCCTTCGGGGACTCTCCACCACCCGAGCTCCTGGTGATCGACCGCCTGAACTCCTCCCGTTATGACGAGAAGAATGGTGGCGGAGCCTCCAGTAAGGTTTCGTTCCCGTTGACGACGACGCGGCCGAATACGTCGACGAGCGTCTCTGCAACTGCCACCGCGGTTGCGACGACGATGACGACCATGACGACGACGACGTCCACAATGATGGCTGCTACCAGGCAGCCATCAACGGCAACGACGATGACGAGGCCGAAGCCGGTGCCGTTCAAACCGTGCAAAGGAAAATGCACGAGCGGGTTACCCGCCCTCTTCTGCGAGAATATCGACGTCGACGCGGATTGTCCCCCCGACGACTCCGTGTTGACGGTTTGCTGTATCAGCGAACCGCTATCGCAAAAACCGGTAATGAGATTTAATATTTAATCGTTCGCTTTAATGTAAGATATGTTGTCGTTCGTGAATGCGTCGATTTGCCTCGAAAGGATTATCTCGAAGCTATTTTTAGAGGATTATAATCCCGGTGAAAAAATTCTCATAATATCTTAATGTTTTCAAGAATTTTTCATATCTTAAATTTATGAAGATTTCTAAAAAAGTACCTCACACTTATTCAGATTTTGTTTTTTTCTGGAAATTATAGAAGGAGAAATTTTAGAATATTTCAGAACTTGCGTATATAAAGAATTCTAGAAAGAATGTACACTTTTTCAGCATTTCTAAAAAGTGTTCCAATTCGTAAATAAAACATCTGGGTCTAAAAAGTTATAAAATTACATAGAAATTGTGAAAAATTCTGAAATTTATGTAGAAATTCTGAAAAGTGTGTTATATGAATTCAAGAAAGCGATACTGTAATTTGGCGAGATTACCCCATAATTGTTCGCAGCAGCGTAAGTATCGCTTTGCTTAGGAAACGACAACGACGATTCGGCCATCCACGAAAGCTCCTCAACCGAAGCTACCGCCGTGCCCTGGTTTTTGCCTGTTGACTCTCATGGCAGCTTTCTGCGAGCGACCGAATGTGATTATAGCGAAAACGTCGACCTGCCAGTCCGGCTCCATCTGCTGTGATAATACAAAAAGTCCGCCACAGGTAAGTAACTCATCACCATTTGATACCGAGATTTGTGTCGGTCATTTTGTAAGGATAACGCGAAAAAATCTCGAAAACGTGAAAATATATATATGTATCCTTTTCTAAAAAGGAGATGTGAAGTTTATTGTTGCCGCTTTTCCGCGATGCC